AGCATTAGTAGCGCATACAACAACTCTGTAAGCGAGAGACAATGGACACGGGGCTTCAAAGAGGCACTCGTAAGAGTGAGTAAGCGTTGCACACCTATCTGGGACGAGTCAGTCAGTTACTGCCAGTGCTGTGCCAAGTGTAGTGGCATGTATATCTGCAAAGGGCATGGCCAGAACGGCCCTCTATGCTCAGGTGGACACAGGAGAGCGGAATGCCCCCTGATAAGTCCTGGAGTGCACCCAGGTGAAGCGTGTTAATGTGTGTGTTTCTGAGCTCTTTCTTGTTCAATGAAGACTACATTCAGATGCTTGGACTTCTAGCGATTAGCCTCGCTATTCTCTATTCCCTATTCTATCCTTCTTCAGCCCTCCCTGGGATACTTCCTACACTGTGAGTCTGCCAGCACTGCATCATGAGTGTAGCCATGGCGGGGCCTGCTTATTATCATTTAATTCATCTCCATATTTACAAGGGATTCGCATGGTCCACAGGCCTTGCAGTAGCTCGCCGAGTCACCAGCATCACCAAAACATGCTGGTGTGAACAATCAGGTTCTCGAAATTGCAATTACCTTTTCAAACATCTCCTTAGAGTTGCTCACTGCATCACCAACCATGGTGTTGGTAACGGACCAGTTTTCGAAATTCCATTTATCAAAGGCCTGTGAGTTCACTGCAATTTCGTCATGGGACAACAGTCTTCCATGTGAAGTTTCTGACGTACGTGTGAATTTGTTCAGGTTCTTGAACATGATGTCATAGAAGGAATGGTTGCCACCATACAAGCTGCACCAAGGGTTCTCTATATGCGTTCTTTTGGACAATATTTTGAGGGAGTGTTCACGGGCTTAAATCCTGTGGCCATTTTAAGAGGCACTTCCTACTTCTCAGAATTGAGGGCAAGGATCGAGCAGGTCATAAAGGCAGATTTCGCAGATGCGAGACAATATGCACAGGTCCTCAAACAGGATAAGCCGTAAGCCTTCAATATGTTCCCTTTTCTTTCTCCTGAATGTTTTGGATTTCAAATCTTCAAATGTTCATCGTAGTCATCACGAATAGGTTGCAAAAGGAAACAAGGCAAGCGAAAAGAATACAAGTGCCATGCTCTTCACAAACTGTTTCTCAATGATTAGCGAATCAGATGTCTCCTTGGCACTGACATGAAAATTGCTTCGCCTGAGAGAAAGAGTTTCATTTTTCAGTTCTGCATGAACACCTGGGGGCCCCCAGAAAATAAAAGGAAATGTTTTGGGCTCCAGGGGATTTGAACCCAGGATCTGCCCCCACTGTGAAATGTGAAGACTTTCTATTTAATTTTTTTTGTGGTAACTACGTCGCAGTCACAAAAACAGTTTGAAAATGCGCTTCAGGCATTCCCCGAACACAACACACCCCTATGTGACCCTATAGGGCCCGGAACCTAGCTTGTATACATTCAACATTTTCAGGCCTTTTGCCTGAAGTGCATATTCAAACTCCAACCGTGACTGCACCGCAGTTTTCCCTTTTTTTAGTTTTTTTTCTTTTCTTTTGAAGCTTTGAGTCTAGGGTGCTCCAATTACGTGGTAATAAAAGCATCCCCCTTAATTGGGCCCCTGTGTTGAAGGCTCCATCTCTTGGTGGGGAGCTGCACCTGCTGGAAACCGGGTCCAGTGCCCTATTCTGATAAAATGGATGTTGCAGACAGTTCTGTACGTACTGGAGCAATCGTCCAATGTCCCATTGTGATGATCGACTGACTGGCCTCTCATGGGCGAGAAGTGTTGCCTCTTCCGCCTGTTGCCGGGCCACCTGCTAAAAAACTATGAGATGTGAAGCAAGGAAAAGTTCCTTTTTTTTCTTTGGAAAAACTTCATATGTTGGAAAGGCCGTGAATGCACTGTTATGAAACTTCCCTGCCATTCTAACTTTAATATGAGGATGACATCACATATCAAAGGCAGGATTATGGACGTGAACAGGGCCATTAATCGATTAACTGACCCTGGAGTAGAAGCGGCTTCATTTGACATTAAGGATATGTTCTCGGAACTTCGGCATCAGTCTATTACCCATGCAGTAGAGAGGGTATTGGATTTTTAGGTGGAGAAAGGGTTTTCAGCGATGCGGGTCAACAAAAGGGAGAAGGGGTTCACGTTTGGGAAGTCTAAGGGAGAATATCCGAGTATCTTCCTTTCTGTCTAAATCACACCTATACCTGGAATACTAGCAAGGTTTACAGACAGGTTGAAGGTATCCCCATGGGCAAGAGTTCGAGCCCTGCCCTTGCTTGCCTGTGGTGTGCTGTCAATGAATGGGACTTTCTCCAGAGCGTCGATAGATCCAAATCTGTCAGAAATCACGTGTATGCGGACCATGAATGACGTGAGAGTCTTCATGACATATTCGAAAAAGAGAAGGGGCAATGACGAGAAGGTTCGGGACATGTTGAGCAAAATTCAAGGGTGCTACGATGACAACCTGAATTTAGTTCATACCAACTACAATGAAGACGCATGGGCCTTTATAGGGTGTACGATTAAAGTGGACAGGAGAAAGGGTGAAATGGTATTCACCAGTTCGCAGTAGCTGATGCAGATCCCAGGGCTTGATACCTAGTTCCCCACCTTACCCGTGTACAGTATCTGTGTCGACCCTTAGAGTTGAACCCGTGACCGGTGTATTTGTAACAGTTGGTAGGTTGTTGTAGGGTCCATAAGTAGCAGGGGTTCGATCTGTAGAGCTGTCGAGTAGGAGTCTCAGTCAGGTCTAGAAGTCGTAGCTGTAGCCTTCTCGAAGGGTCAAGGTCGTAGCTGCCACAGTCGCGAAAGGTCAAGGTCGTAGCTGCTACAGTATCGAGAGGCCAAGTCTACAGCCTTCCGGAAGGTCCCAGTAGTGGCCTTTCGAAGTTGCCCACGTTTAAGCTGAGGCAAGTGGGCAAGTGGTGGAGTCTACCCGTGCTGAGTCAACAGTCCCAGTCCCCAGTCAGTCCTAGTCCAGTCAAGCAAGTATCGCATGGGACAGTGTGCACTTCGGGCATGGGAAAGGGCCAGACCAGCGAGCTGCAGAAGTATAAATTAAGAGGCAGCGCCAAGTCATTCATTCATTCCTGCGTGAGCCATGCGGAAGTGCTGCCACAAGCTACTTGTGCGAGGTGGTCTGCAGTAAGCCCGAGGACGAAGTGGGCGAGAGAGACGAAGCGTAGCCATAGCGATAGGGTAGCAGCGGCCATAGCCACCATAGCTGTAGGTAGAGTTCAGTGTATGTGTGTGTGTGTGTTCGGAGTATTGCGTGTGGGATATGTATGTTAATTTACGGATAATGAATTCAGGATTGAAAATGATTATCGAGGAAGCTCGAATTCGTTTTTTGTGGATTTTTATTTGTTTTGTTTTCACTTTATTGACTTGTTATTGTTTCTGTGTATGCAAACAGAGAGTTGTGTGGGCGCTGAGTCGCCATAGCCATCGAAGTGAACTTGAATCTGAACTGTGTTCTCGGTTACCATATCTCTGAGTTCTGCGTAGGCGCTTGTCGCCAGTTTGCTGCGCACCTGTTTGCATGCATGAGAAGTGTGAATGAGAGCGAGTCTGATTGCATTGTTATCGGAGCTGGTACCCGCTATTCCACGTGCATCGCCGTGTGCCGCAGGTAGCTACGCGCCATAGCTGAGGTGGCCATCGAGAGAAGAAGTCTGCCATAGCGGACCTGGAGGTTGAAGAAGCCGCGGCGCGCACCTGCAGAGAAGACCATGACGAAGAAGAAGAGAGAGAGAGAGAGAGAGAGAGAGAGAGAGAGAGAGAGAGAGAGAGAGAGAG